GGACTCTGAAGAAATTCGGGTTCCCCCAAAGGAAAGATACATACAAGGAACCCTTATCCAAGGTGCTTCCCCCCAAGTCTTCTCATTCAAGGTGCATCCCCCCAAATCTTCTGCCTTAAGCAAATGACACTCTGTCATCTCAAATTGAATTGCAGTGCACAACCTGCATCAGTTGGAGCTGCTTGCAGAGTCACACTGAATATCCAGGTACTTCAAAAGCAATAAAAGAACCCAAGAGTGAGATGAGAGGGGGTTGCAAAGGTTCAAGACTTGCAGAAAAGTACTACTGATGAAATCAACAGAAAAGAAAGTTTTGAGAACCCTCTCTTAAGAGAAGATGCAATATTGTTTTTAAAGACGTTAATGAAACACTGTAAGAACAACTTATCAGTTATGGAAACATTTTGTGACAGAAAGGAAAGATATCTTGAAGCAACTAATTAACAACAACTGGCACTGAAAGCAGCCTGCAAATGTTCAATGTGTCACGTTTTACCCATGCCAGGCTTCCTTGGAGCTGACAGTCTGCTGCTTGGCTCCATCCATGGCTGCTCTTGTCGTCGTTCTGAGAATCGTCCCATCGCCCACGGACAGAGCTGCAATACATCTGGGTAAAAAGGGAAATGCCACATCACAGAAATGCTGAACATATGGCTCCAGAGGCCCACATTCAGCCTATGTGCTTTGGATGCTCAGCTAAGCTCATCAAATTTGCTGCATTGACTCCCTCTGTAGTCAGTTGGTAGAAACAAAGCCTTATAGAGATTTATCCAACTCCTCTTACTGTACTGGCTTCATCAAGTGGCTAAAGATAGGTGAGATGAAATGAAAGGCAGCCAAAATGCCCAGAGGTTGATGTCATGCCCTATTTGTACTAAAATGACACATTAAAGGAATGTAAACTCAAGTTCCAAATGTTCTTGTCAGACAATGCTCCTCCTCTGAAATGCTAAGTCAGGCACCTGGAGTAGCAGGCTAAGGGAAGTCAGTGGAGAAGTGGATGAGGTACAACAGGCAGGGACAGATTCCTGATTTATTTAGTTCTCACTACATTTTTGAGATAAGCATGGAGTGAAAAAAGCATCTGACACTGGAGGTTTAGATGACAAACGTAAATGCCTCAGCACATGAATCTATACTTATAGTTATGACAGCTGCAGGCGTGATTAGGAACATGGGAGATTGTAAGAAATGAGGCTGAAATTCTAGCAAAAAGCCCAAATACTGCGCCCAAAGTTGATCTTAACAGATTAGTCACAAGATTTGAGCTGTTCACAACACATGCCTGCAAAACAAGATCTTTTTATGCCTAAGATGTCATCAGGAATCAACCAGAAGCCCACACAGTCTGCCAGTGGTACTACATCAGAAGTGTTATGATTAATAACCACAGTTCCTTGATAGAGAACAGCTATTTTTTTCCACATTGCTCAGAAGACTTCTGAAGTAGAGGGAATGAGTAGCAAAGCAAAATATATTTCCACATGCAGAGGAAGTCCTGCATTCACTGTGTTGATGGCTGTGGGGATGAATTCACAAGGTAACACTGTCACAAAACTTTCTCTTGTGTTTGTAAATTCCCAAAAGACTTCAAGTGAACAGTCTCAGAGTGTTAAACTGGATAATTTTATCAGCTCTTACACTACATATTATCAGCACACACAGTATCTTACTGAGTAAGTTTTTAGTGTTAAGAATGTCTGCAAACATTTTACTTCACAAAATCCCCTGAAATCAGAAATGCTCAGCACTCATATTTAGCCTGACCTTTCCCAGTGAGACTGGGCTCCTCAGCACACTCTGAGGTGTTGGTGCTGTTGTCCAGATGCCTTCCAAGCAAGATTTTGTGCACTAAATAAAGGCTTATAATGGGGCTGCAGACACCAGTGTTTACAAGGCCAAACGAATTCTGTATCACACCAGGTGACTACAGCTACGACAGTTAAAAGAGGGTTCACTGCTTTAGGTGAGTCTTTTCATGTTTCCGTGCAGTCATTGTGTGATTTCAGTCGGATATTAGTCAAAATTACTCTGTAATAAAGGACTACTTTGCATATTAGACAGTTATAATAACTGTATTTCTTCTGAAGTGATGCAGTTCAGAGAGAGGAAAGAACCTTGGAGAGCAAAGAACCTTTCACCAAATGACTTTTTCATTTTGAAATGTAAAATAATAGAAAACAAATACAAATATGTAATGAAACCCTGATAAATTACATTGCCTTTTTTGTTGCTCACTTACCCTGCTGCATCCACTCTCAGCTTTTTGAATGCTGTTTGTAGACTCTCCTCCTCTTCATCTTTAGCTTCCAAGTCCATTGATGTGCTCTCAGTGGGTAACCAACTGTGCCATATAGAAAAACTGAAACACAGAAACTGGGATTTGATACTGAGGTCAGAACACAGATGGTCTGTACAAAACTGACTGACACTGTGATGGGTGCTCAATCTTCTGTGAGCAATTCTGATCAGACTGCTCTGGGCTTTTCACTGTGAACTCCACGGTCTGAGTTTTTCAGAATAAGCACATCCTGTGTCAAAAATATCAAAGTGTCTTTTTATCAATGGGAGAATACACATCCTGGCAACCTGTGTAACTTTGAGCTGTGAGCATAGCACCTGCAGGAAAGCCTCACAAAGATTTCAGAGTCACAGGACGATTTAGATTGGCAGGGTTCTCTGGAGGTCCCGCTCCTTTGCTCAAGCACGGCCACCCCGAGCTGGTTTCCCAGGACCATGTCCAGATAGCCTTTGCATAACCCCAGACTCCAGAGCCTCCCTGGACAGCGTGTGCTCAGCCATCCTCAAGAGAAAAGCGCTTCCTTATGCTCAGACAGCGTTTCAGTGTGTGCCCACGGCCTCTGGTCCGGTGCCCAGGCACCAGTGAGCAAAGCCTGACCGTCCTCTCTGTGCCCACCCTTCAGGCACTTCGCACCTTGCTGAGATCCCTCCCGAGCCTCTCCTCACGGGCAGCAAAGCGGGGCCAGGACCAGGCCTGAGCCAGGCCCGCACTGCCCGTGCCCGCCCGAGCCTCCACAGCCGCGACAGCCCAGCGCTCCGCCACCTGCCCCGGGGCCTCCCCTCACCGCCCCGCCAGGAACATCCACCGCAGCCCCTCCGTTCCCCGCCGGCCCCTCCGCCGCTCCTGGGGCTCCCTCCAGCCGCGCAGGGCCGGTCCCGGTGGTCCCGGGGGTCGCGGGGCCGCCACTCACCCACCGCCTCCTGCCCGGGGCGCGCAGCACAACAGGACGTGACGTCACCGCCCGCGGGGGCGCGCCCCGGCCCCGCCCGCCCCGCCGGGCGCGCGTGCGCGAGCGAGCGGCGGCGGTTCCGGGGGCGGCGGAGGCGGCGGAGGCGGCGGAGGCGGCGGAGGCGGCGGGCCCGGCCCGCGGAGCGCGGTGAGTGCGGGTCCCGGCCTTGGCTCCTGCCTTGTTCCCATCCCCGTCCTCATCCCGGTCCCCTCCGCGGGTCCCCCCTTGCTGCCCCGGTGGGATGCGCCGCAGCGGGACCTTCCCGCGCGGTTCCCGCCGCCGGTTCCCTCGTGAGGGCGGAGGGCGCTGGGGGAGCCTCGCGGGGCGGTGCCGAGTCACGGCCGGGCCCCGCAGCTGGGGCTGCTGGGCGGGAAGGGCTGGGAAGCGAACTCCGAGCGGTTAAAAACGTAGAAGGTAAAAATTGAAAATATGTAAGTTCTTGTCCCGCGGTCCGTGTGCTGTCTCCTGGGGCCGTGGCCCGCAACGCCCGGGTTGTGCCCATCCCGTGACGGGATGCAGGTGCCGGTGCCTTGTCCCACCGGTACCGCGCTCAGCTGCGTTTGTAATGCGCTCTTACTGGGAAATAGCCGAAAATAAAATAGGAAAGAAAAGCTGTGTGTGTTTTCCTGGGAGTTTTAGTTTTAGTAAGTTTCAGTCTGTTATTTGATACGGTAAACTTTGACTGGTTTTCCTAGTAATTGATTTTTTTTTTCAGGTGTGTGCTGGTTGCCTCTTGCATCTAAAATGCTTAACTTATACTTTATTATCACCCAGTGAGACTTCTATCTAAACAAATTCTGCATTGTTTTGAGCGTTTGCAGTGTTGGTGATGAAGGACAGCACGATAAAATATTTAGTCTAAAAACTGGTACTTCGTTTTGACTGATGTACAGTGATTTTAAAACTTTTTACTTTCGTCTTCCTGTTAAGGTTATGTAATACAGGAGGTTGCTGTTTAAAAAAAACCAAAAACTTATGTAGCCTGAAGTTTTTTATATTTCAAAGAATCATCTGAGCATGGTCTGGGGGCTATGGAATAAAAGTGGAGTAGAGATCATCTGTTTGACCAGAGTAGTAATATTTAGCTAAGAGAAAATATGAAATAGTAACTTGCTCAGATGAACATCATGTTGTCAGTGTTTAAGCTTCTTCCTCTCCTGTTTACTCCCTGTCTGACTCATTGGATACCATGTGCCTTGAAATTGTTATGATGCATCATCCTTCTGTGTGTGTCATAATAGCTGTCTGCAATCCAGGGCGCCCAGGTGAAATCACAGCACAGTGAGCAGCCAGAACAGTGCTGGGGACAGCTGCCACCTCCACCTGGAATGAGAGGGTGAGGCAACAGAGATTGCCCCTGTCCCTCTGCATAAGGAGCTGAACTGCAGAGCTTCAGCTCTCAGTCAAGACAGAGTTTTCTTCTCCTTGCTACAAAAAAAGCTTCTGCACGGATTTGCACTTCCCTTTGCTGAAGTTTGTGAGTTCCCACTGGTGTTCAGCCACTCGTCCCAGTTTGGTGACATCAGCAGATGTGGTGAGGGTACCCTGCCACATCATCCAGTAATGGAGATGTTAAACAGGACTGGACGGTCCTGACCCTGGGATACACTAGTAGTGCTAGTGCCTGACCTCCAGCAAATCCAAAGAGCATCAAACTTAGAAAGATTTGAGATCCTTTGTAGCTAGATTAAATGATGGCCAGGGTAGATTAAAAAAATACATCAGCCAGTTTTTATCGGTTTTTTTTTAATTTAAAGCAAGGCTTCTTGATTGTTTTTTGTATTTGTTTGTATTTGTGCTTGTTCACAAGCTGATACTGGAAAATTTTAACAGCTATTTGTAACCATAATACTGTTTTCTGCTAGGACTGTGTAACTCTTGCTGGGACCTAGACATAAGGTCAAAAAGTTTTGTTTGGCTTAAAACTTTATCTTGTTTTAAGAAAAATCTTTTAGTTTGGGTTTTTTAAAAGTGTATATGTAACACTGAGTCCCAGATTTGGAAAGAAGGGTTGTAGAAGGTTGATTGTTTCTAATTGTGTTGTTCCTTCTCACTTTTACCTCTTCTACAATTATTAGCACTATAAGACAAGTGGAAGAGCCTGGCTGGGCTGTAATGTATGTGCAAGATGCTGTTTGCACCAAATTTGACTTTGAATTGTTAATTCACCTACAGTTGTACAAGAGGCTGTTTGTTTCATTCTTGGGTATCATAAAGCTTGTTCTGAGTCAGCTTTCAAAAATGTTCTGCTAGAATGACCTCAGCTTTGTGTGCTCAGTGTGCTGTTTTGAGTTTATTTTCATGTATTATGGTGCTGCTGGGCAACTAATGTTTTTAACAAGGATTTGGCCCTTATTTTCATGTGTCTTTTTTCTGCTTGTAGCAGTACATGGTAACTCTATCACCTTCTGGCCGTCCCAATGATGAAATCAGAAGCTAAGGATGGAGAAGAGGAAAGCCTGCAGACAGCATTCAAAAAACTGAGAGTTGACACAGCTGGGTGAGTAACACCACAGGAAGGCACAGACTTAACATCTTACAAATGGACTCAAAGGGAACACCCTTGCTGTGAAGTTTGAGGGAATGAGGTAATTGCAAAAGGTTAGGCACAGAAGGCTTTCATTGTAGTTAAACAGACTGAAATAACTTCACTACCTGCAGACTGCACTTCTTAAGGAATTGTAAATTGTTTGATTGTCAGCTTGCACCAGGTTTGAAAGAACCCTCACAATCATGATCAGCTGACAATGTGCTTGAAATGAATTTTGGCATGAATCTGGCTGCCAGAGGTTTCCAGTACTAGAATTCATAGGAATAGAACTCTGTTGTGGAAGTTAGCATATTGCCATGGTTCTGAAAGCTGTCATGAGAATAAAATCACATCTTTTCCCAGGAGAGAAACTTTCTTTCCATGTCAGTAAGGGAGAGCGTTAGATTCAGTGCATGATTCCCACACAAACTATTTTCATTGCTGTCACAAAATTTCTATTTATAACCAAAATCACTAACTGGGAAAGAATGCTTTTTGTGTTGTCTTGGTTTGTGGAGATCTGACACATGGCACTTACCTTCACTGTCCCAGGTGGCAGAACACAAGCACCGTGTGTCTTCTGTTGGTAATGATAATTTTTACCCAAAGTTAAATAAAGGAAGGCTTCCATATAAGGTTTTATTTCTGCTGACAAATGTGAACTATTGCATACTACCTGTAGAATCCGGGGTCCCATAAGCTGTTGTCAGTGATGCAATTACACTGTCACTGAAATGAAAGGGTAGGTAAGGCAGCATCAAGGTGGTAACTGGAACTACCACAGAGCTGAGATTGTGAGTAGATGGGCTCCCAAAGTTATCTTTTGTTTAAGTAATTAAACTCATTAGTAATGAATTACCTCCCATTTTTTCAGCATCTCTTCTGCCAGCTGGGCATATTTGATTACTTCGGTGTTTTTGCTGGTGGTGCTTGATCTTGTGTTCTGTATTCATTGTCCTTTAAATGGAAATTAGCTTGATTAACAGTTTGGATTCTCTTAACTCCATCCTAGATCAGCGAGTGGGGACTTATTTTCACTTTTCAGAGAATCCATCCTGTTTACAAACTAATTTAGCATAGGATTTGGAAAACAATTTTCTTGGGACTTCCAGTGTAATACACAAAGTCACAACTTGAAAGAATTGTTCTCGTGAAGAGTCCTTTAAAATGAGAGTGTGGAATGAATTTATAGCACCAGAAAATTTAATAAATCTACTAAAGCCCCTGCCTTGAATAGAAGCTGAAGGTCTGACACAACTCTGTGACTCAAATGATTCAACTTGCAGGAGTATGAAGAGTTTTAGCTTATGTTGACAGGCTATGTTAGACAGAGGCTTAAGTGTTCTTCAGTTAAACAAAGTCTATTTATGTCCAAAGAACATTTATTTTTAGGAAAGAATGGCTTATTTGTCTCTGGAAAAAGAGACGTGTTTCTTCAGTGCTGGTGTTTCTGCCCTGCCCTCTCCTGGGAAGCTGAAATTGGGCCATTGTGTGTGTTTGTCACTGACATGTGGGGTTGGCTCTGCAGCGGAGCTGTGAATGGCATCTCTTGGTCAAAGGGTCTGTTATACAGACCTTGGAGATAGGGTGTGTCAACACCCATCCTTCTGGTTTGGGTCTTGGTGGGTAGATCTTTTAAGACATATTCTAAATGATTTGGAGCAATATTTTCTGTGAAAGAAGATGCACAAGGGTTTATTTTCGTAATCATAATGCTAACTGGTGTAGGCTTTTAACTCTTCATTCTGTCTCTCACAGATGTACCACTTCTCTCTCTGTGGGTGATGGGACAAGTCCCAGAGCAGTAGTTAGAACAGTGGCAGATGAATCCAAGCCTAAGAATGTGTGTGCTTCTAAGGAAACCTGGCATGGGTAAGAGAAGCTTGGGATTATCAGACTATTTCAAATGATACTGCATTGAAAAGTAATGTTAATAGACAGTTCCTAGCTGGTGCTCCTCTAAACAAGGGACCTGAATTGTCTTTACCAGAGAACTTTTTAAAATACTCACACCACCTTTTTCTCTTCATATATGACTGCTGTTCTTTACAGTTACTTGAAGTGAAAGGAAATGCTGGTCACCTATAGGTGGCTAAAAGTTATAGATATTTCTCAATGCAAATGTGAGCTGCTGTTTTGAATCAGACAGTCATGAATGTGTCTCTTTCAATTGTTGTTTTGTACTGCAGAAGCTGTCATCGTGCCTTGGGAGCTAGATTGAAATAAAGTGTTGGTTTCTAGAGTATCTCTGCAGAACTTCATGCTCATCTGAAACAAAACCATCCTTTGCCCTTGATTAATTAGTTTTGTGCTCTTTTCTTGTGCTTTGTCCTTCTTGTAGAGATGATTTTCTCATGTCTCACGTGCTTTACCCATTTTCTGACCTTTAAAGCCCACTCTCTATGAGATGTATTTCTGTGGTGTTCCTTTTATATTGTATACAACTGCTTGTCTACAACTAAGTCAAATTCCAAGACAGCAGAATACCCAGAGACCTATAGCTCGTGAATGCAATATAAATGCAGGAGAATTTTTGCCCAGTGCTACTTATAACCCAGCAATAAGTGTTTTGGTGAATCTTCATTCCCTTTGTGTCTTTCCCTGGCAGCTCTGTGAAGAAGCCCTCGAGAGGAGTTGTGAGAACCCAGCGTCGCAGGCGTTCCAAGTCTCCAATTCTTCATCCTCCCAAGTTTATCCACTGCAGCACAAAATCACATTCCACATGCAGCCAGCTGGTGCAGAAGAGCCATGCTGATGCCCAGGAGGACAGCAGTGGGTTTGGGATGCCAGTCTCAAAGGAAGTTTGTGCACATGAACGCTGCAGCGTCGCTCCGGACATTGGCCAGAAGGGAGCTGATGAGTCTTTGGGAGTTTCTGTTGCACGGTTGACCTCGGAGAACACACAGGAGAACTCTCCAGCTGCAGCTTCTCCAGTATCCAAACCAAGCCTAAAGACTACAGAGCTTTCTGACTTCCAGTCTATGTCCAAGCTGAACACGGGTGGGTCATGTGCATGTGCAGATAAAACCTGTCAGTGCAGACTGTGGCAAGATATGGAAGTGTACAAATTCTCTGGCTTGCAGAGCACCCTCCCACTGGCACCTGATAGAACGGTTTGTGAGGATCAGTCCCAGCCTTTGCCATCAAGAACTCCCTCAAGTTCTCCACGCTCTTGCTCTGAACAAGCCAGGGCCTTTGTGGATGATGTGACAATTGAAGATCTTTCAGGATACATGGAATATTACTTGTATATTCCAAAGAAAATGTCTCACATGGCAGAAATGATGTATACCTGACAGCAACGAGCACTAAAACCAGAAGGGTGGCTGGTTTAAATCTGCCCTCAGGCACATCATGTGAATATGCAACCCACTCCCTGCTCACTGTGCTTGCAATAAAAACACTTCTTTGCATCTCAGCTGATGTTTTAAGCTGATTATTTAAGCTGGACAAACAGTTTAGTTTCAGTATTATAACTTAAGCTTGGAATAGATAATGTGCTACAGGAACTTAGAGCATACCTGCCTGTACTTAAGAGACCAAAACTTAATTCTACTTTGTTTCCAAAATCCTCTTTTTGCTTTGTGGGAGAGGAGTCCCTAGATTGCTTGGTGATTAGAGCTCTTCTTGTGAGACACCTGGTGTCATTCAGCTCCTTTGAAATCACTTTGACCTCAGGTTGTAAGACTCAGGCTTGTGGTTTTGCATGCTTGTAACTCTGATTTTATTTCATGAAGGAGTGTGACCATCTCCTACTCTCCCCTAGGTACTATTACTGGAAAAGTGGAAAGCAAAGCTTTTATTGAATTTCCATCAGGCCTTAGAGACTTGTCTGCAAGAGAAATACCCTGCATTCTTCAGGGGAATTGCTGCTGTGGTTAACCAAAGGAAAAGTGAGGGCATGGGCTCTGCTCACTATATTTGTTATGGTGACCAAACCAGAATCTGCTTATTTCAGAGGTCTTAATTCATACACTGTCTGTCAGTTTTGGGGTTTTTTTAGCTTCTTTTTTAGCCTCCTCTCTAGCACCAAGTATTACCCTTCCTTCAGGCATTAAAACCCATAGACTGGAGTGAACAGTTGTCAGCTGTAGGGAAATCTTGAGCACTGTGTCTCCACTCCAGTCTTGCTAAACCATCATCACTTTAGCTGCCGTCTCCAGCTTTGCATTCTCCTGGAACAGTGTCTCTTTTATGAGTGTCTAGCAAAGGATATCAAATAATGTAATTTGTTGAGGGTGAGAAAAGCTGTGTTTGGTTTGTCTTTACTATTTGTGGTGCCTCAGCTTTCTGACATGGAGAAGAAATGGAGACAAACATTTTCCTGCAGAATCATTTGGTGTTAATCTTGGAGGGTTTTTTTGCAATTTCTGTGGCAGCACCTGCTGTCTTAGGACAAGTGGCCATGTGAATTTATCTGTTTTGCCAGTTCTGAAGTGTCACCTGCACCGTGCAGAACGTACCTGGGTTCCACATCTCTTTCTGTGCTCTGCAATAGCTGCATTTCTGCCACCTGTGTTCTGAGTTCAAGGCAATTTTTTGGTAACTTGTCTACAAAACGGCTACAAAGTGCAGAATGACTTTATTTCTCAAATAATTATTCTTAATTGTTCTGAAATGCAAATTCCAAGCACAGCACCATCATGGGGCTGAAAGTGCCTTTCAAGACTACAGTGCTTTTACCATTTCATTCATTAGTGACCACAGACCTGACTGCAGGGTTTAGGATTGCACTGTCCACTGCTCAGTACTGTGTTACAGTGGATTGAAATCCAGGAGATGTAAAAATACTAGAAAAATGTGAGCTGGTGCTGACTGGGAAGGGACACGAGCAGTGCCACTAGAGGTCAGGCCCAGGCTGGGGCTGGCTGCTGCAGCAGACTCGGTCTTTGGGGAGAATGGGAATTTTTCTGCCAGAGCAAAGAAATAAGAGCAGCTCTGTGCGGTGCCTTTGTGCACACAGACTGTCAGTGCTTTCTGAAGTGTGTGTGGGTTTGTTGGCGGTCAACAAAAGCTCTTTAAATGCCAAAATCAGCATAAGTTATTAATGTTTAAACAAAGTGTGCAATCAGTTCACAACTGTGCTGTGTAATTAGGAAAAGTTGCTAAGTAAATAATTACATAGGCCTGAACTTGGCATCCTCTTGGGACAGTTACAACATCTTTGGGCTCCTAAGTGCTGGAACACCATGGAATAGAAGACCATGAGTTGCTGCAACCGCTGCCTTAACGCTTTCTCTTCTGTTACCACAAGGTGTTTTCAGATGTTTTGGTCCTCGCAGAAACCATAGAGCAAAACCTTCTGGTTTTGCTTTGAGAAAATGTGAATTTATCGCCCTTAACTATGCAGGAAGAACTTTGAAAACGTGCCTATGTAGTCTAAAGACTTGGTTTAAAACAACAAAAAACTTCAACTTGAGCCAATTTCAAAATCGAACTTTTTTAGAAGAAGGCTTTAAAGGGCTAGTTATGCCAAATGGCACTTCTGAGTCATGTTGGGGTCCCTTACCAAAGAGCTCATTGCTTCCTGTGGCTGATTAAAAGTGAAGCCCTTTGTAATTAACTTTCTAACTTGGTCCTTCTTACCTGTGCCTGCAGGTGTTCTGTGTTTATGTGCTGTCCATATACAGAGCTTCTCTTGCAGTTATATATTGTGTGGTTCCTCTGTACCTTTTCTTCCTATAAATGATAATGAGGAGGTTGAAAGTTGAAAAGCCGAGTCCAAACCCACCACCATCTGTGGCAGCTTTGCCCCAGAGTTCCATGAGGTTTTGGGATCTCCCCTGGAAGGGCTGATAACACCCCACAGCTCCTGCAGCTTCCCAGTGTGGTGGTCAGTCAGGAAGGGTAATTTCTCCGTGGTCTTGCTGGGACAGTGTCTTTAGGAATGGGATGGGTGTGCTGGAAGAATAGAGGGCTTGGATTAGCCTGTTACCTGGTCTTTCACTCCTTTTCCTCTGCCATCTGTATTTGATGACATTTTTGTTACTATGCGTGTCTGCAACTGTCTGTGATCTTTTCCACACACAGACTGAATTACGCTGCTGGCTGTTAAACAGAAGGAAGTTTGGGAGGTTTGTTGTTTGGGAGAGAGGGGTAAATTACTACTACTGAACTTCTTTCATTACCCTAAAGCAGCTCTGGAAAGTCACTTGGGAAGTAGCAGAGGGGCTGAGTGAGCTGTTGCTGCACTCGGGTGACAGCTGTGCTCTTACTCCGTGTTCTGCCTCTGCCCAGTTACACACGGTGTGAGTGACCTGGCCCGGGCGCTCCGTCCTCGCATCCCGCGGGGCTCCGGCGGAGCGGGACAGCGGCTGCCGGCCCGGGGGAGCGCGCCGGCCCCTTCCCAGGCTCTATTTTAAGCAGACATTTACTTTCCCAGCCTCTTCTCCGCCTGGATCCCTGCCCGGGGCGGGGAACGGCGGGGGGGGTGGGATGTGTCTCTCCCCTCCTTCATAAAAGGGCCCCGAGGCGGGGGCCGGGCTCCGGGGGGTTATTTTTGGGAGCAGCTCCTGGGATCCGATGGCCTTGTTAGGGCAGCGCTGACCTTTCTCCCGGCGGGGGAGGAGAACGGGGCGGGCGGCGGGGCCGGGGGGGGGAGAGGGACCGGCTCGGGACCCCCATCCCTTCCTCCGCCGCGGGGATCGGGACCCCCATCCCTCCCTCTGCCGCGGGGGCGGCTCCGCGGGCGGCCCGTGGCCGAGCCTGCGGGGCAGGTACCGGCTCGGAGCGGCTGCCCCTACGGGGGGGCTGGAGCTCGGCCCGCCCTTCTCCCCTCCCTCTCGTCCAATTTCTCTCTCCTGCCGTGCCCCAGCCCCTCGGCCGGGCCAGGCGAGGCAGGAGCCGCCGCTCTCGGCGCCCAGCCCGTTCCCTCCGGGGATGCGGGAGCCCCGGAGCGCTGCCCCTGGGAGCGCTGCCCGGCTGAGGGGCACCGGAGGACACCATGAGCGGCGGCAGGTTTGATTTCGATGATGGAGGCGCCTATTGCGGGGGCTGGGAGGGGGGCAAAGCCCACGGGCACGGCATCTGCACCGGCCCCAAGGGCCAGGGCGAGTACTCGGGCTCCTGGAACTACGGCTTCGAGGTGGTGGGCATATACACGTGGCCCAGCGGCAACACCTACGAAGGCTACTGGTCCCAAGGCAAGAGGCACGGCCTGGGAATCGAGACCAAAGGACGGTGGGTTTACAGAGGCGAGTGGACCCATGGCTTTAAGGGACGGTACGGAGCGAGGCAGAGCATGAGCAGCGGAGCCAAGTACGAGGGTACATGGAACAATGGCCTGCAGGATGGCTACGGCACTGAGACCTACGCTGACGGAGGTAAGGGAGCCTGCAGAGGGAGTGGGAGGGGGATGAACAGTCACACCCAGCCTGTGACAACACAGGTTGCATGTTGTCTCTGCTGAAGGGCTGACCTGGTGCTGTCCCCACTAGTGAGATCTAGACAGTGATCTACAATGAACCATTGGGGTGCCTCAGTCAAGAAGGGGAGCTTGGGGTGCTCCAGCTCGTCAATGTGTGCGTGCCCCGATTTTCCCAGGTGGGCGCAGCACGAGGCTCACTGTCTGCAGACACAAGGGAGGAGCAGCAGGAGCATTGCCCCAAGCTGCCCTGAAGTGTCTGTTCTGGCAGTTAACACCAAACAACTTGACTTTGTGTAGTCTTTGACTCCTGGTTCCACGCGGTCTGGTTATTGCAGCTTCTGGCTGAACCAACCCAGAAATTCCCAGCTGGTGCACGACCGCAGTGGCCGTGTGCTCGCTCACCAGGCAGCGAGCTGTGAATGTTCTCGTGTCGGATATAAGCCACCCACAGCATCCCAGCACGCCTTTCCTATGCATCAAACGCTGCCTGCATGCCTCTGACAGCCTGCCTGCACATCTGCTTTGCCAGAGTTTTGGTTAAGTCCATCTAAGCTGTTTAGAATATGTAGCCACACGCCTTTCCCCAAAATAAATCCCTGTGGTTATTTGGAAGGTTTCAACCTCCGCTATTATACAACTGCACTGCGTAGTCAGATATTTGTTGTGCTCTGTAAACACTCGCTCTAATTGTGTTCTTGTGTGAGTGGCAATTCTGGGGTTACAAACATTGCAAGGATTTCTGTGCAAGTAATTTTGTAGCTCTTCAACACTCTAATGTTCCGGGCTGCCACATTTAGGATAGCTAAATAGAGAGGGTGATTTGAAAGAAATGGCCTTCGAAATATGGATCAAAATTGCATCTATGTTTATCTAGGACAGGCATTGGAGTTAGTTTAAAAGCAAAATATAATATAAATCTTCAGAATGAAAAGTACTGCATTTATAGGCATTAGAATAATGGACTAATTCAATACTGCATTTCAGGGCTATGTTTTTCATAAATATTTCTCAATGATTTGTGTGGGTTTTTGGCTAACTTTAAGATTAAGAACCAATCTTGAAGTGTACCCATTTTCCTTGTGCACTTGGATGTTGTGGGTACAGACACGAACTGACACATCTGTCCAGCTCCTTAAATTTTTCCCCCTTCTGTCCTGTGACCATGGAATGGTTTAATGGGTGCAGGTTGCATGCACAGAACCTTCACATGAGGCCATAGGACGAGTAGGTGACATGGAAGGTGTGCTCTGAGGAGTAAAGAGCAGCAATCAGGCAACTGTCAGCAATGGCTGCCATTGGGAATTTCATTCTGGAGGTGTCAAGGTCTCCTTTGAATTTGCACAGTGCTTCTTAAAATGCAGATCTTTCTAAGGGTGAAGGACTACTGGAATTCCAGTTAACGTTCTGGGGGAGGATTTTGAGTCACAAGACTTGACATAGGATTTGATTAGATATGGGACTGAAAGTTTGGGACAGAAGAGCGGGAAAGATGAGCCAATGCTTTCTCCTGTAAGGATTTAGAATATCCTGCTTCTGTCAGCACAGCACTCCCCAGGGTGCTGTCCCACACCCAGGAACGTGCCAGCTGCTTGATCCCTGGTGCCATTCGAGGCTGGCAGTTTAGCCCTGATCTGTGAAGATGTGCCCTGCCAAAATCCATGAGGGTTGTGCTGGGGTGCCCAGGGGCTGCTCCGTGCACTGGATCATCACACCCTGGCTGGTCTGAGCTGTTCATTCAATGCATGAGCTTCTCTGATGGCACAGGAACATGGATAAAACTGCAGCCAAAGCCAGGGATCACCATCTGGCATCACATCTGAAGGACGGGGCGGAATGGTCTCACTGACCTGCAGGACCTTTTGTTTTGTCTCCTACCTGCACACAGCAACCTGCAGGATCCAGATGTGGCCAGACTGCTAATGGGACCTGTTAGTGTTTGAATTTGAGGTTGCCAAGATAAACATCTGGAAAGGCTTTGGATATCTGCCGTCCCTCGAGTAGGGGACACGATTCTCAAGCCCCTTGGAAGCCAGCCACACGAGGAAAAGGGTTCTGGGAATGTGCAGCCCTTGCCAGGTCATCAGAAACTTTAGGTCATGGTTGGACTGCTTGCAGATTTCAGGGGAATGTAGCTGATTCTGATGTTTTAAAATAGACTTTAACTTTTATATATATATATATATATACATACATAAAAATTTACATTTTAAAATACAATTAAAATATACTTATAGGGTTGTCTGTATTTGAATCTTGTGTCTGGCCAAGATTTTTAAAAAGACCAAATCTGGAGTGAAACTTTTTGAAATCCCATATAGATTTTTGGTGTCTAGTAAGAACCAGGGTCATGGTACAGTTTAGCCCAGGCACTGTGTGGGTTATTTTCTCTTCTCCCCACTACCAAAAGCCTATTTTTGTGAATGCTATGGGAGACTTTATGGGTTTAAGGAGCTTTCGGTAACATGGATTGAAATCAGCCAAGGGGTTCAGAGCTTTGTGTGTGGCTGGGCAGATACAGTGACATTCTGATACATTCCTTTGTGTATCCAAGCTGGATATACTTGTGCGTGCTCTGTCACTACAGAGCTCAGAGCCCTTTAGAGGGGCAGAATGCTCCGGCTGAAGCAGAGAGTGAATGGGGTTGTGGAAGGCATAGCATGAAGGAACTCATTGTTCTGTAACGTAAGCTATGAGTAAACATGTAGTTATTTGGCTTTGCCCAGTGAGTTTTGTCCATGCTGTAAGGAAGGTCTCATTTTTTGGATACTTTTGTGCATTTGACTGTGAGTCAAAACCCTGAGTCAAGTTTTTCTGTAGAAAAAGATCTCACTGAATCATGCTGCATACCCGTGATCCAGCCCAAAGTCTGTCTTTGCTGTACAAATAACTGCTTGTGTGTATGGAAGGGGAAAAACATCACTTAAAATCAATGCAATCTAAAACCAACTTATTTTTGATACTGCAATTTGTTCTCTAGGGTGCTAAGGAGGACAGTGGTGTCAGTTAACAACGGGGAAACAATTAGACCAGTCAGTGATCACAAGACCACAGAAGAGGGGAAAAGAAATGCAGAAGTGCTCTACTGGGGAGATGAAATGGGTGATGTGGAGCAGCACAACTCCATCCTGTGGCAGGGCAAGTGCAGTGGGAAGGGGCCTGGACTGGGACAGAAGGAGCAGCATCCATGGGATTGTGGCTGGGAAAGGAGGAAAGGGGTATGGGAGAGCCACGATGGTGCTGGCTTTCATCTGCTGCCTCTGTAGCAAAGCTCCTGCCTGACACATGAATTAATATAGTGAAATTTTTTACCCTCTATGTGGTTTTCTTTGGCTTTCTTTTCCAGCAGAACCCATCAGACAGTACTGCTGGCACCAAAAGGCAGCACTATGTTTTTGCTGGCCTGTCCTCCACAGGGTGCTGTGCATCATTTAAATGTCCCTGGCCACTTACATCGAGTTCCAGCCTGCCTGTCTTCACAGTATCTGGGTGACAGCAGGGGCCTGTAGGGCAGGGATGCGATTTGAGCTGTTTGCATTATTTACATGGCTGTTTGTATTATTTACATTCATCACTAATTATATGGGAGCCTTGAGACAGGCTGGGAAGGGGAAGTGTGTCCCTGCTGGTGATGGGATCTTGCTGCTGGGCTGGAGGGCACTGGGAGCTGAAGCTTTTGCATTGGATGCAGCCATGCACCATCCCACCCTGCTGCTGGGGTGAAGCAGAGGGTGCTCCCACCCCTTTGGAGTGTCTGGAGGTGAAGGCTGCAGGGATGTCATTTCCATTGATCCCACAATTTAATCCTTCCCATCCTATGAAGTTACCCAGGCAGCATCACGTGCTTTTGGTTGGGGCTGTGCAGAGGTGATGAATCGTATTCTTGGAGGTTGCAGAATGGTTTTTGTCATTAGGACAAGTAAAAATGCAGCCAATAAAGGATTATTGGGGCCCTCTCCCTGCTCATCACACCCTGATGAAATGAGGTGTCTGTCCCACTGCCCTGATGAATCTAGGGCTGGGGGGAGGCAGGGAAGTGGGCTCCCTATCATAGAGATTTACTTGTTCCACATCCATTTCTTTTTAATTATTTTTTGCAGAACCTCAGACGCGTGTGAGCTCGTGGCAGCCTGGCTGACAGCTGTGTGCTGCCCGTGCCCCTTGCCCAGGCTGGGTGGGTACTGGGCTGTGGTGGTGGCTCGGGGACGTGCAGCCGTGCTGCAGAGAGATCTTGCACTGTTTTCTGTAGAACTGACTGCCCTGGGCCGTGCTGGTGAGGCAGGGCTTGGCTCTGCTCAAGCCCTGCGTGCCCTGACTCACGGCTGCCGGCGCCTCCAGCCGCTCCCTGCAGCCTCTGGCTCCACTCCAGGGCTGCTTTATGGCCATGCCCTGGCACAGAGCCTCAGCTGGGCAGGGAATGGCAGCATGACAGGGCCATGGCAGTGCCTGCTCACCTTGCCTTGGCTGGGCAGCCGTGGGCAGCACTGTCAGTGCCCTCTGCTCATCCAGGCAGGGCTGGCAGCTCTGGTCACAGGGACGATGTTGCTTGTGCTGTACAGACTGAAATCAGGGAGTAGAGAGCAGCCTGCAGAGCTGGTGTTAAACCTTGTGTTGAGGATGGCACTCCATCCTTGCTCCCTGGAGACCCATGTGGCTTTTCCCACCCAGCTGGCTCTGTGCTGTGGAGGGGGACAGAGTGGGCTGGAGTGCAGCAGCTGCTCTGACCTGACCCCTGAGGAGTGGCTGAACCCCCTTAACCTGCTTTTCCAGAGTTCCTTTTCCAGGGAATTAACATGGCAGCATTACCAGCTGCAGCCTGATACGTGTGAAGTTGTTCCCATCCTAGGAGAAGGTCTCCAATGTCACCCTGATCATGTGTCAGCCCTGCTTTCTGGGAGGGCGGGTGGGACGGAGCACTGACCTCACCAGGGAGGGACATGGGGGCACTCTAGGGGTCTCTATAGCTTCAGTTTCCACTAGGAAGGCTCATCCCCATTTTATGGAGAGGGATTTGGGAACATGGTGAGGAACATGCCCAGATGCCTGGCATCTCCGTGATGGTCCTTGGCTCCTGACTCGTGCCCAAACCCATGCTTATTTTTCCTTGTTTTTCCCTAGAAGAGCTTCAAACTCATCCAAGAAAATGGAAAATGGCCTCTTGCTGTGGCAAGTGGCTCCCCTTGGCTGGCTGCAGTCTGCAGATGCCATGTACTACCTGAACCCCTACGTTTTTCTAGGGGAGACCAACTGTTTACAGGGACCCCATAATCCCCTGTGCTGCAGGGTGGGCAGGGGCTGGCTGAGGGAAGCTCACCCAGGACAGCAGCTGCTGCTCACTCGGGCACTTCTTGTCTTTCCTGGCCCTCAGCACTGTAAGTTAACACTCCACAGGCAGGTCCAAAGAGGATTTCAACGAAACCTGAAGCTTGGGAGGAGAGATTATGCTGCAGAAGTGGCCTGGGAGACTGTAAAATATGCACTCCCACGATCGCCAAAGAAGGAACTGGATTTGCTCCTTGGGGAGCAGGGTCATCCCTGGGCTCAGTAATGGTGTTTGAGGGGGAGGAATTAATGCCTTGAAGATGGGTTACCCCCTTCCATCTCAGCCCAGCTCTGTCTGAGCCCCCCCAGAACTGTGGGAGTGCCTGCTCTCCCAAAATCATGTGTCTTCTGGTAGGTCACTGCTTTTTGCAAACCAGATTTAGGACAGATGTCTGTGAAAATACTCCCAGCACAGCAGCTTACATGAAGCAGCACCTGACAGAGTAAAGGAATAGAGTGGCTTTTCCAAAGGTGTTTGTGCTCCCCCATCACCCTCTGCCTGTGCCCCAGGCTGAGGGAGCTGCTGGCAGCCTCCATTCCACAGGGTGCTGGTCTGGGATGGCCCATTCCAGGTCCTGTAATACCAGGAGCAGAGAGGAATGCTGCCTTTGTTTTGGGTGGTTTGCTGGTTTCTGAGGCAACTGCATCTGTAGACTGATGAGAGCCAGGCTGGGAAGATGGCTCATCCCAGGCTCATCCCCAGTCCACAGAACTCAGGGATGCTCTGATATTCCCCGTGCTGGAGTGGTGGGTGCTGTGAGTGAAGGCTGCCTGCTGCCCCACAGCTGCTTGCCCTTCCCAGGAGCTCTTCTTGTGGGGCCTCTGATGCAGCTAATTTAAGTCTCTTGGCATCCTAGTGAGAAAAGTCAGAGTGGGAGTCTCCACTCTGCTGGAGTTTGCAAATGTGCTCACCTCTGGAATCAGGGGGTCTGGAGAGGAGCAGTGTCCCCCTCCTTCAAGGTGCCACTGCCAAAGTCCTGCTGTTCTCAGCAGGGTCCTGTAGCCAAAGTGCAGCCCTGGCCATGGTGAACACGATCCGTTCTCTGCATCCCATCATATGACACCATCTGCCCTCTTGAGCTGGGTCTGGAGGAGTGGGGTGGGGTGATGCTTTCTGGGGCAGAGCTGAAGGAACCCCACACAGAGCAGCTTCTCTCCTCCCTTTTTTGCCCATCTCCTGGTTTGTGCAGTGTGGTGCCAGCCATGATTTTGGGAACTCAGAGAAGCCAGAGTCAGCACCAAGGAGACGTGGCTTCAGGTACCAGGGCAGTCAGTGGACATGTGGGATCCTGACCCAGGGGTCTAGAGCTGGTCCTGGCAGCCTGCAGGGGACAGACTGCAGAACAGGCTCAAAGGGGCTGTCACCAAGCCAAGCAGAGATGTGCCACTGCAGCTCACATGCCCGCTGGGGCTGCTGCCACCCTCTGCACGGCCCAAACTCCACCCCTGGGGGCTGCCTGCCGCTCCCTTCTCTGAATGAACATCCAGATCTCGTACACTAAGTGGCTTTGAGTTTGCAAAGTGTCCCCTGGTGCCTCAGTCCCTTTGCAAAGGGCTGTCACCTGCCAGCAGAGGCTCTTGTGCTGGTGTCCTCTGCTCCCCAGGCACTGATGCTTTTGCATGCGGGTGAGCACCAGCGGAGCCGGGGTCAGTGCAGCCGCACAGCTCACCTCCCTTCCAGCCAAACCGAGCTGCTTTTTCACGCTGCCCTCTTGTCTCCGCAGGCACGTACCAGGGCCAGTTCACCAACGGCATGCGGCACGGCTACGGCGTGCGGCAGAGCGTGCCCTACGGCATGGCCTCGGTGGTGCGCTCCCCGCTGCGCACATCGCTGTCCTCCCTGCGCAGCGAGCACAGCAATGGCACCCTGCCCCAGCAGGACTCGCCCGCCGCCAACCCCGAGAGCCTGCCCCTCTCGCCCACCATCACCCGCGGCGGCTTCGCCCTCAGCCTCTACGCGGACGCGGAGGCCGGCAAGCCCAAGAAAGGGGGGCTCTTCCGCAGGGGCTCCTTGCTGGGCAAGCTGAAGAAGTCCGAGTCCAAGTCATCCCTGGCCAGCCAGAAGAGCCGCGTCAGCTTCCTCAAGAGCGAGAGCGGGATCAGCTCGGCTGCCAGCGACGCCACCTCCACCGTCAGCCTGGGCGAGGGCGCCGAGGGCGAGGAGTACACCCCCTTCGAGTCCGACATCGACGCCACCACCACCGAGACCTACATGGGCGAGTGGAAGAACGACAAACGCGCCGGCTTCGGCGTCAGCGAGCGCTCCAGCGGGCTCAAGTACGAGGGGGAATGGCTGGACAACCTGCGGCACGGCTACGGCTGCACCACGCTGCCCGACGGCAAGAAGGAGGAGGGCAAGTACCGCCACAATGTGCTGGTGAAGGGCATGAAGAAGCGTGTGTTACCCCTCAAGAGCGCCAAGATCCGGCAGAAGGTGGACAGGAGCGTGGAGGGGGCTCAGAGGGCTGCGGCCATCGCCCGGCAGAAGTCAGAGATTGCAGCATCCAGGTGGGTGCTTGGAGCCCCAGCACACAGGTTCCCGTGGTGATGGTCCCCATCCCATGTGTTCAGGAGCTGTCCTTTTCCTCATCCCCTCTCCTGTCCCCCTGCAGCCCTGGTTGGTCCAGAGGGGATTGTTACCAGTCCTGGCACTCAGCAGGATGGGGAGCATCCTGATGCTGTGCCAGGCTGGGCATTGATGGGACAGCACGAGAAACAGAGGGTTTGATGGTGATAAATCCAACAGGCTCATGAGCAGCCAGATGTGTCCCAGATAAACTGGGGCTGCAGCAGAACACAGTTTGGCCCTGGAGCCCCCATGTGGCTCTGGAGGAAGTTTGTGGGATGCATTAGGGTTGTCAGTTTTAGCAGCTGAGTGTAATTGTTCCACTGCCCCTCCTGGGATGGAGGAGAGAGGAAATAAGAGTGGCTTCAGAAATAAGTCTGCCTGGAAAGGGCAGGGGAAATTCTCCTCCTCCAGCTCACATCCCTGCCTGTGTCCGAGCTGAGTTGGCAGCGTGCTCCTCCAGCAGCATTCCTGCCGGTCTCAGAGCTGACCTGGCAGAGAACAGAGATCTGGGAGCCTTCCTCCTCTTCTCCTCTTCCTTGGGGAAATGTGGTCGTAACAGTCCTTGAGGTTTCACCTGACTCGCCAAGAAAACCTCGCCCTGCACAGGCTTTGCTCAGCTGCTGGGCAGTGGCTGTGACTCCTGTCCTGTCTCACTCCTTTTAATTCCTGTGTAATTATCAGTTACTTCATTATCAACCAGAGCAGGGAAATAAGCAAGAGGACACCTATTCCCAAACCCCATTCCACTCCTTGAAGAAACCCCCACTTTACTCTCCTGGCAGCCATTTCTTCTTCAGACTTTTGTGGGGAGCATGATTGATTTTTTTTAACAAAACCCAGTTGCCTCGGGGACTGGTGGAGAAAACCCAGCAGGATTGCAAGTGAATCTCCATGCAGGACCAGCTAGGATAAAAATAACAGGCTGGGGTGGTGTGGGGCCCTGGATCCTTCTGGCAGGGCAGGCTCAGCCTGACACCAGCCTTGCCGTGCCCGGGAAAAGCGTGTGGCCACAGCGTGAATAAGGAGGCTGGAGCTGCAAACACTGCTCCCTGAGAGCTTGGCTGGTTTACACAAACCTCTTTTTATTATGCACTATTTACACTTTGCATCAAAAGCGGCTCTGCAGTGTTTTCAGTCAGGGGCTGGAATGCGCCCGCTGCCCTGGCGGGGGCTGCATCCCTCCCCAGTGCGGCCGGGGAATAATTTCCTATTAAGGAAACCTTGGAGCTGGAGGAAATAAGACGTGGAAGCTGGTTTCCTCCAGGGAGCCCTCAGCCAGCAGACCCTGCCGTGGTGTAGCTGCTGGGCAGGGCAGGGATTGTTGTGCTTGCTGGCAGTGTGGAACTCCAGTCCTGTTCCTGCAGCACAGCTTCCAGCAGAGCTGGACCCGCTGGGAGAGGGGAATTCAGGCTGCTTGTCCTGTAAACTATAACTCAGTGTTTCCATCAGGGTTTATTCCTGGTGTATCTTGCTCGGAGCAGAGCTGTTCTCTCTACCTGATGACTTTTGTAAATCTGACTCGTGCTCTCCTCCCTCCTCCTTTCACCTCAGATTTGGGGTAGAGATTAAATCTACATAATTTTTCCTGGAGAAGGTCCTTAGTTTAAACCCCAGCTCTGCCACCAACTTTTGCTTTGGCTGTGAACCTTGCCTCAGTTTCCACACCCAGGGCAGAGTAATTGCAGACGGATTGTGAAAATGGATTATTACAGTTTATAGAAGGGCTGCACTATCATTAGCTTGCCTGAGCTCATAACTGTGAGGTGGAGCTTTCTACATTGGAGCATTTATGTTTCTCCTCAGACGGCAGTGTGTCCCTTACCCAAAAAAATCCCTTTGAGGCTACACCCGTTCTTTCCTGGGGGAAGATATGACATTTATGCATGTAAGCTTATTACTAGGCACTAATTATCAGCACACAGCAGGTGGGCTGTGCAAATTCCCAGGTACCTCTGCACACCTGAGCTGTTGTACATGGATGTTTGAGTTCCATTTGCTTGTGGCACTCAGGGGAGCCCCTTGCAGAACGAAACTGCTGTAACATACAGCCTCCTGCTGTCTGGGGGTGAAATGCCAGCAGAAGGCCAGATTTCTCCCTTTTGCACCATAAAAGGCTCTTTGGGGATAGAAATTCCGAGGAAAACAAGCCCAAGCACTGGAAGCTGCCTGAGCCAGTTGTGCCGCAGGAATCCCAGGCACGTGCTGAGCTCTGGGGTGCACGGCTGGGGGCTGTCAGCAGCACTGAGGGGTGCCCTGTCTGTGAGCTTTGGGCAGGAGAGCAGCAAGAGAACAGCCAGGGACGATGGGCAGTGCACTCACCAAACCTCCCTGTGCCATGCTCTGCTCCCAGGGTGTCTGAGGCACCAGGCTGCTTCACAGCTCCTGTCCCACCTGCTCTTTCACTTTGGGTCTTCCAGACAGGGCTGTGGGCAGTGCCAGCTACTGCCTGTCCTACTGCCTCTGCTGCCCCTGCAGCACTGCCCTGGCCTCCTCAGCTCCCTCCTGAATCCTCCTGGGTTGGCAATCCAGCTGCTTATCCAGTTGTGCAAAAAGCTGAGGACATCATCTTACCGTCAGCTGAGAGAACAACTCTGTTTTTCATTATTTCAGTGGAAATCATTTGGCAGGGGCCATGCTGTCCTGAGCAGTGCATCCAGGTCAGTCAGCTTCACCCCATGCAAAGCCTACTGTTGCTGCTCAGATGTTGGGTAAAAACCCTGGGCATGTCCCTCAGCAGCTCTGGGGATCAGCTAGAGGGATGGAGTTGATGGAAGCTGGAGTGTGAATCCTCACCCCGGCTGCTCTCACTCAGGAGAAAACTCATCTTGGAATGCAGCCTCTGTGGCAGCTGGTAGACATGGCTTTACTCCTGCCCAGGGGTAGCCAGGGATGGATGTGGGGTTAACACACTTAACACACCCCAGGGAGTGTTCATTAGCCCTGATGCTAATGAACCTGCACTTTCTGGTGCTCCAGGACTTGTCCTGCTGTGATCCCAAGGGATTCCTGTCATAGCTGGGACTCGGCTGTTCTGCAGTGCCAGGTGAAGGCACCTGCTGTGTCACCTCCAACCTCCCCTTTCCTGCCCACCATCCTGCTGGAGACTCCTTTGAAAAGCAGTTGGGGTGGATGGGAAGCACGAGGAGAGCCTGGGATCACAGCTAGGGCTTCACCTCACAGGAGCTGAAGTAGACACACTGGCTGGAGGACTGTGAGGAGGGGACAGCCACCACCAGGCCCTGAGTGAGTTGGTTCAAAGCCATGCTGAGGTGTGAAACAGCTGCCCTACAGCTTTCTGGGCACATGGGCTGGTACAGAATAGGGTGCTTTGTACCCCAGGTACTTGAAACTCCTTGTGCCTGGGGAGCAGTGTGTGTTTGCCTGTCAGATGAGGAGGATGGTCCCACAGAATACAGGGGGAAGAAGCATGAAGCTTTCATCTCTTCAGAACAGATGAAAATAAAATAAACTAAGAGGAAGGGCAGGACTGTCTGCAGGGGGAACCTTTAATGTTTTGAAACCTATGTGCTTAGTAGCTAGGCAGCTTTTACAGGGGTTTTCCTTCTCTCACGTGCTTTTTAAGGATAAAATGAGTGTAAATACTGCAAACCCCACCTCTATCCCATTGCAGCAGTATCTGACATGGTCTGCTTCTGCACATGGTTGTGCTTCCCAGTGACTTGGACCAAAATCAATGGAGGGACTTGGCCATGTGTCCTGCAAGGCACGGGTCTGGCCAAGCTCTGAGATCCTTTGAAGGGTGCATGTCCTGGCAGGAACACCTCAGATACATCTGCAGGATGTCACGGGATCAATAGGAAAACAAAATATTCAAGGCTGTAATGACTGCTGTGCTTCACCAGTTTGTCCTCACGTGCTGGCCCTGTAGCTCCTGTGTGGTTTATACCTAGAGAGTACAACTACAAGTGAATACATTTTAGGTTTACTTTTGTTTTAATGTACTATCAGTAGATATCTGTAGGAATTTCTAGATTGTGTTCTGAAGTGTGGGGCATCAATTCCTGATTCTGTGGGGTTTTCTCATTAGGGTGAGCCTGGGCTCTGTGGAAACACAGCAGAGCTCCAGTGCCATTACATTGGTGTGGCTTCCCCGCCACCAATACATGGGCATTGCTCACATTGTGAGCTGTTGCCTGGTTTTGAAGCCTAAGTTGTTTTTCTGTCCATACCCATGACTTTGGGGCACATCTTAGCTTTCCCTTCAAATAACAAGAGCACTTGACAGCTCCTGTATCACTTTCCAAGCCTCTTGTGCCTGGCTGCATTCCCGGCAGCGTCGCTGCTGTCTCCCTGTGCTCAGCATTTCCAGGCTGCGTGGCCGGGCAGCAGCGAGCGTCTCCTTGGGGAACGCGGCTGTGTGGTGCAAATGACGTCCCAAAATCGCTGGAGTCAGCAGAGGCTCCTGACTAAATAAGGGCAGGCAGAGCAGGGCTTTATCAGCATGGCCTGAGTGTGACAGCTGAGAGCCAGGCTGGGGCAGCCCACGCTGCTGGGGCTCGGCTGTGCTCTCCCACTCGCAGGGTGCTTCATTGGGCACAGCTCTGCCCTTGTCCCCACTGCTCCTGGGGGTTTAAACTGATGGTGGGGAAAGTGGGAAACCAAAGGGACAACTTCCTGAGGCACCTCTTTGGTGAGGCATGGTTTGTGTCCAGTGCAGCACTGGGCTGGTGGCCACGGTGGCCTTTGTGCTCCTGGGGCTGACAGCACAGCTCAGCTTCCCCTGAGGCCAGATTTCAGACCTGGGATTTTAGGTCTGTTAAATCAGACTTCGGATTTGCTCTAACGAAAAGCAAAAGGATTTTTTTAAATGTACTTTTAGCCAGAGGCACAGGCATTAGATACCTCAGGAGTTCAGCACATTCCCAGACCTTTAGGTCTAAAGCTGGAGGAGAGCAGGATGCTCATGGCACCCTGTGAG